AAATGATTATTACCATGGCAAGTCTCCAATCCAAAGGCAAACCACCCAAACTCTCACCTCCACACGTCCACATCTCAGGGTTTCTTCCCAACACACACAAACACCCCCCTTCACTTTTCCCACCACTGAGTCCTGCGGGAGGGGGGAGACACCCCGAGAGGACGGATCCCATCCTCTCCCCTCCTCACCAACGCACCACTCCGAGCAACAAGCGGGTTGAGCCCAACGTGTGGCACCGCGTTTCTTTTTGCCTTCTCTCAAACTGTTTGTTTTACAGTTTTTAAAGACACCTTAACCCGCCATGTTGAGCTGACAAGCTTTATAAATATTCATTTACCGCAGTTCGGGGAGCGCTACGGGGAAAACACGTAGAGATCGGGGCTGCACATTTTGGCACAGCTGATGGCTTGCTTTTCTACTCTTTCTTCCCTTTCAGCCGGATTTTTCTTCCTCTTTCCCTTCTCCTTGCAGATTGAGAAGAAACGCACCCGCACACCCAAAATAACTCTTTTTGAGACGTGGATCGGCGTAGGAAATGGGAAAAGAGGTTGCGCACTCCTTTGAAAGGACAGGGAATACTTTGAATACATAAAAAGAGAGAAATAAAGAAGGAAAAAGAGGTGGGGGGCGAAGGAAAGACATCTAAAATGCGATACAATGAGGTAAAAAGAAACCCCCCGCACGGCTGGGATTAAACGCCGAAACACTGCGAGCCCTGCCCGTGGTAACTCCGGCGAGCCCAGCCCCAGATACCGGTCCCGGCCGGGCATCAGCCCGAGCCGCCGCCCGCCAGTACTTCCCGGCAACTCCATCGCCGCTTTTCCTCCCCTTCGGATAAGGGGCGGGGGGGAGACGAAAACCCACACCAGCTTCCCCGCTTTAGAAACATAATAATTAACCCTTTAAAATATTTAGGAACGCGGAAAACGACCCAAAAAGGGCAAAACCTGATATATAAAATAAAGGGAAATACCCGCTGGAAGGGTGTTCTTTGGGGGGCGCGGTACCTTACCTGGGTCAGTTTGGGGGGATTTTTTTGAGGGGAAGGGTGTTTTTTCTTGTTTTCGCTTATTTTTTCCGCGGCTGAGCAGCGAGCCCCCGCGGTGCGCGGAGCGATGCGCGCAGCCCGGAGCCGAGCCGAGCCGAGCCGAGCCGAGCCGTCCCTCCGCCCGCACCCGCGGCGGACTCATTCCAATATGGCATCCGCGCAGTGCGCATGCCTGCCGCTCTTTTTAAGGCTTTTTTTCCCCCCCTTTCTCTCCATTTAGCAGCCAACTCCTTGTGTGACCTTTTTCAGCAGTTTTTTTAAGGAACAAAATAAATAAAAAAAGCGAAGAAAGAGAAAAATCTCGCACAAATTCCAACCCCCATCGCCCCGCTGCGCGCCCGCGCAGCCTCCTCGCCCCGGGGCCGTGGGAAACGCGCCGCAATAAGCCAAGGGAGGGTTTGAAAATCACCCGTGAAAGAGATGCCGCGGTTCCGCGGGGCGCGCAGCGGTAACGCCGGTGTCGCGCTCGACGCGATCAAACACCGTCTGCAGCGTTTTCTACCGGCGGCTCCGCATCCGATCGTCCCCTCCCCACCGCGACCCTTTCATTTCGGGGTTTTTCCCCCTTATTTTGGGTAGGGGAAAAAGCTTCCAGGGAGGGAGATGGGGAAAGAAAGGCACGATAAAATGCCCCCGCGGCCCCTCCCGTCCCCTCCACTTCGCCAGGCTCCTGCGTTACCTGATTATTCCCTGGTGCAGCAAATAAATCCGAAATAAATAGAATTAGGAGGGGGAAAAGCAGGCGAAGGCACAAGGCAAGATGCGAAATCAACTGGTGCAGGCACGGGAGCAACTTTCTATCGCTCGCTCGTTGGGTTATTTTATGGTTATCTCTTTCTTTAGCGGCTGCAGGGGGTGTGCGCGGCTGTGATTGGGGGGTGGGGGTTGCACGTACAGCCACACTGCGGGATTTTCCGAGGTTTTTTCCTGATTTTCTTTTTCCTTTCACGGAAAACAGCCTCGGTGCAAGGGTTGGACCATTGCCTGTGCCCCCCACCCCCTGGTCCTGCTCCTGAGGGCGCCAGGAACGTCCTCAGCGGTGGGATGGGGCTAAACCTGCTGCCAGGATTATTTGGGATGCTTCGGCTGGTGGTACCCGGGGCTTTGCTTGCCCGAGTATGCTCGCAGCGAGGCTGTGGGTGTATTCTGCAGGGATTTCACTCCCTCTCTTCCCTGCCCAAGAACCATAATGCTTCTCAGTGGGGGAATTTTGTAGCCCTAACTCCCTTCTCCTCCCAGGCAGGCAACAGCGGCATCCCTGGTAGGGCTGAGGTTGCAAGAGGATGTTCTTGAAGCATCCTCTGGGATGACACTTATCCAACAGGTCTGGAGGAGAGCAAAGGGAAGGGGTATCACAGCAGCGAGTCCTGGACTTTGTGCTGTCCACCCTGCAGTTCACCCCAAAAGCTGGTTGTGTCTGCCCCACACCCGGGCTGTCGAACTTGCATCTCACCCCACAGGCTCAAATGCAGTCGTTGTCTCCGCTTGCTTTTCTCCTGTCATTTCTGAGCTGAGGTTTGAAGTTTACAGGTAATCTCGTGAGCATCCCTTCTTGCAGGAGCAATGGGGTGCTGCGGGGAGGGAGTCTCACACCATGGAACACGGCAGTGATTTCCACATGTGGCCCCAGCTTTCTTCTACCCTGCTGCAGTCACCAGCCCCCTTTACACTGGTTCTTGATAGGGATTCATTGCTGAACCTCCCCATCCCCTTTCTCCTCCGCTCTCCCCATCCCCTTTCTTCTCTACCAGCCTCTCACAGACACATTAGCACAACACTTTTGTGCAAGAAGACAAGCGAGGAGTGCAATAAAGATGAAGAAAGGTGTCGGTTTTCTTTCATGGAGAAGATACTGAAGACTGGAGGAAAGAGCAGATATGGCAGGCAGTGGATTTCTTCACCACTATCCACGTTCTTGCCATTCAAAGCCCATCTCTGAAAGGCCACGGAGACAGCTTCAACCCCTCCTGTTCCAGCAGAGAAAACATACAAATCAAGCAGTTTGTGTTTTCCAGTCTTTGGGTTGGATGGGATTTCAAAGGGAATACTGTCAAAGCTTCAAAATGGGACCAAAAACCCAGTAGATGCCAGGAGAGCATTGAGGCCCCGTTCTTCTAGATGATCTTGAAAGCGGTTGGCATTTTCAGCATGGTGACATTTCAGCTTTTCAACATACTTTTGAAGGAAAGATGCTCTGCAAACTCGGTGTCTGTGTTCTTTCTTCTTCTAACCTGTTCTATATTAGGTTACACTGAGATTCCCCTCACTGCAGCATATCTTGATACAAAGCTGGTGGTGGGCAACACTTCCACCATCCAGCTCAGGGGCACAACCACCATAGCTCCCACAGTGTGTCAGATGTTTCTCCATCTCCTTTGCATTAACACCAGGTGTTTTAATGCTTTACTTCCATTCACACTTCAGCGCTCTTTGCAGGAGCTTTGGTCCCACTGACCTCTCTGGAGCTTCTTCCCTCTTGGCCTTGTTTTTCTCTGCCCTGGCCTCTATTATTTAGAGGCTATTTCTGAAGCACTGACAGTGCAATTGTCCCTGTGTGTAAAGATGTAGAAGAAAGCATTATCCTTGTCCAAAGAGTTTGTGATCTAAATTAGCTCCGTGGATGGTGTCCAAAGAGGTGGATTCAAAAGAAATTAAAATAATCAAAGCTGAGGAAGAAAGACCCTTTGGAATGTCTTCTAAGTGGCTGCTACAACAAGACTTTCATGTCTGAATGAAAAGGTGCAGATCTATATCAGGTCTGATCTGAAGATGACTGTAACGGGTCCTGTTGGCAGCAAAGACTTTGGATCTTGCTCACAGCTGAGAATACAAATTGGTTTAGTGGACATGAAATGCAGTAATAGCTGGGAGATTTTGTTTTAATGCTACCTTTTAGAGCATCACTGGGAAAAAGAAAGCACTTTGAGATATACTGAAGTGTCCTGGTGTAGTATCTCATGATACAAAATGGATTTAATCCCTGGTGAAAAGAACACACTGCTTTAGCTGCAGTGTTCTGTGTTCTCAGGGATGTATCTTCCACTGATCAAAAGCAACTTGGCTACATTATCACTGCTATCTGTGCTGTTGAATGCCTCATCTGTTGGCAGCTACATGATGCCCAAACTTATATTTCAAGTTGGCAACAGAAGTTTCACATCTGAAATTTCTCGTTGTTAGGTTTAACAAAAAAAAACTACTTTTATGCAAATAGCACTGACAACGGAAGAGATTTACCTGAGTACCAAGTACCCAAGCTGCAGTGGTCATCCATCTGTCCTTGCCTCTGATGATCACCCCCAAAGGATATAACTGTTCACACCCCAAGTTTGCCATAGGTGAACAAGAGAAACATGTACAACCCAGTGACATTCAGAGAGTGCCATTACCTTAGATCAGATATCAGCAGTTCCTGACCTCTGGGATAGATTATCAGTACACAAAACCTTTCCTATTTTGCAGGCTGTCATCTTCAGGAGGAGAGGTGGGGATGTAAAAAGGTCCCCTACACAAAGAGACAGAAGCATGCACACACACAGATGTTACAGCATTAACACTCCCAATTTCTCCCTTTTTTCCTGGCATCAGAAGAGAAATGTCCTGGGGGGCATTATAGGATTTGCAGATGGATGTGAATTTCTGGCTTTGGGATCCCTGCAAAAAGGAGCAAAGCTGTGCAGCTGCACCAGTGTATTTTGGGATTTAGAGATATCCAGCGTATGAGCTGAAGCAGGGACACTGTCTAACAGGAACTTGGTGTCAGAGAAGACACCCACAGACACCCATCATCTGGGGCTACCTCCATCGCCAAATGCAGCTCCTATTACTTGTCCCTCTGTGGAATTGCTCCTGGAGTCACAGTGAAGCTATTCTGCATTTTCTCCCCTCCATACAACAAACTAGGGCCTTTATCTTCTAAGTCTTCCAGTATTCAACCCACCCTACAAACAATCCTTACAAGATGAAAAGACACCATAGAGCATTTACTTCATGCCGGTCCCGGGACCAGGGCTCTCACCTACTTTTCTCTTCTTTTTATTCATCAGCCCTAACTCAGGGAGAAGTAGGTGGCTGGAAGCTGGCATTAGGATGCAGAAAGACTAGTTTCACAGTGCCATCTCCTGGAGAGGGATATCACATTTAAACTGCATTTTGCAGGTACCTTCTTAGGTCCGATTTACCATCGAGTGCTGGGCATTTTGAAGGCAAGTGATTACAGCATGATCTAAAGACGAGTTTAGCACAAGTGAAGTTAATCCAAGGTTTAAACTCCCTCATTACGCTTCTCAGTAGAAGTCCTGCTTCTTAAATGCTGTGAACTTCGAATTGGGATTCATAAAAGGGTTATAGACACTGCTTTACACCTCTTCCCTGCATGCAGTGATTGCAGAGGTATCCTGCAGGGATACACAAGGGATACCATGGCAAAGGAATCATCACCTCTTAAATGGGAAGTATCAGGGCCAAGCATCCCTGCGGCCTCCAGCTGACCTGCAGATCCCTGCCCAGCATGTGGAGACCCACACGTCAAGTTTTCACTGCAGCTTACTTGCCAACTTTTCTTCTGATTAGAAATCACTGTGCAGGGGTTGTGACTGTTCAGCAGATGGGCAATGACTGGGTTTAACATCAACCAGAAAATCTGAGCCAATGCATCGTCTCTGCAGCTAAAGAATGCCTAGAAAGCGTGGTCTCAGTGCTAAACAATGGCTCTTTCACCTTAGCAGTAAATGGAAAGGAAGCACATGTTATATCCAATAAATCAGAGCGCTGAGGTTCAATACTGAGGCTCGTGGGTATGAGTCTTATCGATCATGCCTGCACTATGGAAGAGATCCACTCTCCTATCAAGAATTTGCTTACTTCCACCATTGATGAACAACTTCCTTATTTATTTTGAGTGTTTACTGTCAGGAAAACACCTCCTGGTTAATGTATCCAGCTCCTACAGGCTGGTGTTGGGAAGGGAGGCTGGGGAAACTGAGGCAGGAGGAGCTGTGAGACCTTGCACACAGATGTGCAGTCCCACATAAAGGCTGTAGTAATGGAAATGGATTTAGACCTCAGATCTGGGGTAGCATGGTGCTGTGGTTATAGATTTCACTTCGCACTGGTGTTTCTGCCCAACTCTGTGATGCTGAACAAGTAATTTCTCCATTTCCCTTCCCTTTTATGCAGGAATCTCCATAATGGCCAGACAAGACCAAAACCTCTGATGGACAAGGATGACCAGGAGCTCACTTCATGTTAAGAGCTGTAAATTGTGCCTCACGTCTGCATTACTCATCATCACTTCAGCACCCTGATGGGAGATCAGAGCAGTTAGTGCGCTTTGAGTGAATTCTGTATCATAGTCCTTCTTCATCAGGGACTGTAGCGATAGGTCAAGGGGTGATGGGTTCAAACTGAAACAGGGGAAGATTAGGTTAGATAGAAGGAAGAAGATCTTCCCTGTGAGGGTGCTGAGGTGCTGGCACAGAGTGCCCAGGGAAGTGGTGAATGCTCCATTCCTGGCAGTGTTCAAGGTGACAAGGTCTAGTGTGAGGCATCCCTGCTCATGGGAGTAAGATAATTCCTATGGGAATAAGTATATAAGCAATTTATTTTATTTAAAAACCAAAGATTAAAATCATGCATTTGGAAGCATCTCTGTGAAACTGACTCTGAAATGGGCTTGTGAATGGCTTTTTCTCTTTAATGGCTTCTTCTGTATTAAGGAGGAAGATTAAGAATGAAATACCACTAATTGCACATAAGGGCCCCGGCTTCCACAACAGTGTAACTGTACATTGTATTCAGCTCAATCTCCATCTGCCCCTAAGAGCATAATTGAGTCTTTATTTTAATTTGAAGGAGCTGACACTTCTATTTCTTCACTGCTGCGTTGCTAAGCATATTTAATAAGAGGGGGTATGAGTGGAGGAGTCTACAATATGCCATTAAAGGTAATAGGTAACATATTTAAGGTTATAATGAGCTCAGGACTGAGTAACTCAGGGATGAGGATGGAAGGTGTATAAATACTTTCCTTACCAGGACTCTGTTGAGTAAGACATAGCTGTGGGTTAATAAATAAAGAAGTAAATAGAGGGGGTTTGTTTTCATGAAGTGGGTTTTCTGATCTCATTTCAGACCATGCCCCTTTGGTCCTGCCTACAGGTGACTGGTTTTACTCTACATTGGCTGACCTCTGACAAGTGGCAGCCTCTGTGCCTCAGTTTCCCCATCTCCACAATGGAGAGAGGAGTAGTAAACTTTGTAAACTGCTTGAAGAATTCACTGATGCAAATGCCAGTATCCTGTCCCTTATAACTGAGCCTTGCCAACCCAATGAGCCTTTTCTCGAAAGCAAACCCTGTGGCTCCTCTCCTCTTCCATCCCTTTTCTCCACTCTCCAGTGATACAGCTATGCAGGATCTATTCCCTCCTGAGATAAATATTCCTAAAGACACATCTCTTTTAAAAGCATCAGGTGCTCATAGGTCTTAGCTGCACCTCTGATAACCCACAAGCCTTGAGAATATAGGTTCTTGACAAGAAATACCTTAAAAACTAATATTCCTGGCCAGCTTGCGTGCACAGACAATGCTCAGCTGCAGCACAGTTTGTTCTGCTCTCCTGCTCTTCCTCTTCCTCAGTCTTGCTGCTGGGCAGCTCATTGAGGTGTGCAGGGTGTGGAGGTCAGTGAGGATGAGGAAGATCGCAGTTATGGTGACCCATGTCAGCATTCAGCCCTTATAGACAGGGGAGGATTAACAGAAAATAAAGTACATCCCTGTGAAGTGAGATGTTTTCTCATTTGAATCTGGAGGGTACACAGCAGAATGGATGGCATCCATTGCAGGTCTCTACTCAGAATTAGCAGTTTGGGATTTCCCTTTCGTCATGCCCTGGAGCTCTCTCTGGACTGCTGGGGAATCAAACCACACGGATATAGTTTTAGTGACAAATACAGTAAAAGATACATGCAGCAAGAGTCTGATTCTGCTCTGGAGCTGTTTGGATCCAAAGACCCAAAGGAAGGAGTAATCCCTGCTTCCCTGAGATCTTGCCTATAGAAAGGAAGCAGCTTGTTCCTGCCACAGTTACACCACGAATATTGACCAGCCACACACCATAAATACTCATTTTCTCCCAGGTTTTCTTTTGGATTGAACCAACCAGCTCCCTGTGAGATGAAACCTGGGTGCATTCAGGGGTCACTTGCAGGATTTCCCTTTGTAGGCAGCGTGACCCATGATAGATTTACCTCCCTCTGTCCTATATGGCTCTCCAACACCATCCCAGTAAACCTCAATCTCAAGTACCCTTAGGAGATTCTGCCAGGATCCCATGGGAAGGATGTGCCACATAAATGCCACTCAGGGACTGCATTTTCTGTTATTTTGCAGTGAAAATTAACTCTTTCCTTAGAGCCAGAGAGATTCCTCGTTAATCCCAGAAGAGACAATGGTCAAGTACCAACGCAAGGTGAACACGGCAAGGTGAACAAGGTGAACATGAGCTGAATGGAAGTGACTTGGCCTGGAGGATGCAGAGCTCCTCTTACAGCAAACAACACGAGCAGGGTAGATGCAGTCAATATGTCCCTGGCACTGGGCAGGTTTTAGGGGGTCTTCTCTAGGGAAGGTGTGCTACCAACAGCTATGATATTTTAACATGAAAAATCTCTCCTCCTTCCTTTCCCTGCTTTTGGACCACCTCACATCATACGTGTGAGGTATAAATGCAAAACCTTCTTGGCATGATGTCTTTGAGAATAGAGTAGGTTGTAGTACTCTGAAAAAAGCTTTTGTCTATAGGAACATGGCTATGCACAGGGTGAATCACAGTTTTATTTGCTCAGCTAAAACAGCTAAAACAACTCATGCTTTCTTGTTCACATCTACAGTTCCATATTGAAAAATAAAAGAAGGATTTATCCAATTTTTCTTAGCCCTTATCTCAATGTTCCTTAATTTACCTCTTTACAATCAAAAGGATGTTGCCCAGTCCTGTCAAGAAAACTACTTGCTGAAAAGCATTGCATTTACAGTAGTGTTTAGGTAACCAAATCACGATCCAGACTAGTATTAATTGATTATGTTACTGTCTGTGAAATATCCTATTTATCTAGGATCCACAAAAGGCAGCTCATTACATTAGCATAAACAAAGAGTGCAAAGCAGGAGCCATGGCAAAGGGGGGTCTATGGAAGAGATGCCACCAAGACAGGACCAGGGCAAATATTCTCTGTTTGGAAAGCAAGAAGTTAGAAATGTCAGGGATGAAAGCTCGTGTGACAATGTCTTTGCTTAAACTAGCAAGTGTAATGTCACTGCTGCATAATCGGGACGTGTCAATGGTTGTGCTTGAAAGGTTTATTCAGGTGGGTTGCACCTCCCTGCATCAGTACAACACAGGCTTCACAGCCAGTGCTCTTGACTCCTATTTGGCTTTGGAAGAAGCATACCTACAAAACCCTGCCAGTGTTTGTAATGATGCCTTTTCACAAGGTTTCTCCAAGCATAATTCTGTGATAACCATAAAACAAGTTTCACCTATTTATAACCAGGGGATAAGTGGTTTTTCTGTTACCATGACCAGCCCAAACTGGCCTAGGAAAACCTGGAGAGCAAGGCAGAGCATACAAGGAGGAAAAGGGGGAGATGCTGGCTGTGGGCAGGTCATTCTGCATTGCCTGTCTGCATCCATGGACTGTCTACAGAGTCTGGACCATCAGCCTGATGAAGTGCCTGGGATGCAGCTCCAGCTTAGCATCAATAGGTTTCATCAATCTGGGCATCTCCATGTGGCTCAAGAGATTGATTGAAATGCCTAAGTAGTTGTGGTCTTTGGTCTCTGACAACTTATGTTCTTCTATTATAAAATGGCTTGGGCCTTGCCCAATAGAAAGATGGGAGTAGTGAGCTATGTCCATGAAGACAGATCCTGATCTGATCAGTGTGACAGCACAAGGCAGAGAATTCATGTTCCTCCTCTGCTAAGTGACAACAGGAGCCAAGGTAGGGAAGGAATTTGGTTTTCCTCATGACAAGCTTTTAAATAGACTGGATTTTAAGCTCAATTTTCAAGAACCTGACCCTCTAGAAGTAGCTTTCCAGGCATGGAATTAACTTTCCGGGCATGGATGGACCATGCTTCCTGACAGAACAGGCTCCAAAGGCACTTCTCCAGCTATTTCAGAGCACGCTGCTACAGCAGAAAGTCAGACAACAGAGCATGAAAACTTGTTCAAAAGTGTTTGCACAGCAAAAGGAAAACTTCAAAAGGAGCCAGTGCAAATTCAGACCCGGTGGGAAAGGGGCAACATTTCACTTGGGCTGCTTGGGAAATCATCCCTGTGTGCCCTTGTGAGGGCAACCTATGTGCCTACAGAACAGCTTTGGGAAGGATTAGCACCAGTGCTTGCAGGTTGGAGGTACAGAAAGGTGACTTTCTATGTGAGTGGTCACAGCCCAGCAATCCATCATTAGGCTTTTCTGCCTCCCCATTCTTCATTTCACCAGGTAGTTTGAATGCTAATCTGCTTAAATGCCTTTTTATAGCTGGTAGCTGGAGGCTAGTTGAGTTGAAAAACCATACAGCCGTTTACAGGTCTGCTTTAAGACACGGCATATATTATGTATGAAGCTTTATAACAACCATCCATATCAGAGCTGATGGGGAACATGAAAGCAATACAGCAGCACTCCTTCCTGCAGCACTTTGTTACAGGTGACAAGAGATAGGAGATCCAAAGGCTGAACAAAACCAGTAGCAGGAAATTATTTTCCTAAGAGACTCCTACAGAATGTAATGATAAATAAGACTTTTAAAGTTACTGTGAAACAAAGGGACCCTTTAATTAAAAAGAGCCTGATCCCTTAAATGTTGAAGGTTGTATTCATCTGTCTCAATTAGGATATATTGAGATAACTGCATCTGAAATATTAATCCTCTTTGTAACTGGTGGAGCAAATCACCACAGGGACATGCATAGGAAACTCATATCACTCCACGGTAAATAACAAATGTTGGTACTGTGCTTGGGAATTCTAATTCCCACATTTGAGTATCTGTTCCACTCATGCCCTGCCTCAGCGCAAGGAAAACTGGCTCCCAGGACCAAAGCAGCTGTGAGGCCCCAAGGTCTGGAGCTTCAGGTGGAAAGAGCCCTATATCCAACTCAAATCCAAGAATAAATCCTGGCCCTTAGGATTCCCCATAGGGTCACTATTCATATGACAAAATTACTACATGCACGTAGGGGTTTCGCTGCACTGGATCTGCACTGCTTTGAGCACCTTTGAATTCAACCCTAAATGAGTGCTATAACTTGGAGAAGTTTTCCTTACAAAAGACAGACTCAAAACTACCTTAAACTCACTATTGCTGTAATCTTTCCCTATGCACACAGAAATCCTAATCATCCTCCTCCTATCCCAAATCAAAGCTATCAACTCCCATCTTCATGTTTCAATGCTAATTGGAAACAGAAAGTCACGGTTCTCCTGGAGTTTAAACAGTTTTGCTTTCGTGCCAAAGAGGAGCACAAAAGTTGAGTTTCGCTCTCAGTGGTTTCAGCTTTTTCTTTTCTGGAGAGCTCAAGAGCCAGCTCTTGTGAATTAAAACCAATTCCCATCACTAAAGGCTTCTCATTTACACCCGCAGAGCACTTGGGCCAGCTGTTCCATTCGTGTTCTCACTCCTTACCATGGTGGTCTACCTCCAGGTAAAGCAAAACTTGTATAAACGCATTATTAGAAGCTCATGAGAAAGACACGTGGGTGTAATGAGGCTGAATGAAAATACATGTAATGAAAGCTTGGAGGGAAAACATTCTCTCTCAGAAGAGTGTGATCACATTAGCGCTGGTTATGGAAAACTAATGTCCACTTTAAGTGGTATCAAGAGCTGGAGCGATTGAAAGACAATAAGAAGACAATGAGTAATGAATCAATTTTATTGTGTGCTGTTGAGCAGTCCTGGCTGGAAGAGAATGCGTTGGTACGGCTCAATAAAGGGGATGGATGGGAACTGACAGCAGCAGGGACAAGCACTCCCACACTTTCTGAAGAAAGAAATGATTTTTGAAATTATTTTTGCCTTAGCCAATAGGATTCTGCTGAAAAAAATGGGATGTTTTGTTCTGGAGTTCAGCAGACACAGCAGGTGAGCACCATGCTCTTTATTTATGCAGAGAGAAAATACCAGCTTTATTGGAGAGACAAACTCACTTTGCACCTTTCCTGAAGCTGGCTCTGCTGGCGTCCCCAGGAAAGGTTTTGCGTCGCTCAGATCTCTTTATGGGACTTGTCTCTGCTGCCATATCTCCCTTTTTCATACACTACATCCCTAAGCCACCACACTCCATTTCACCTCCTAGGTTTGGTACAGGTTCCTAATTCACACTCGCATCCTGATGCACGCACACCTATCCAGAAGCATAGAACACACTAGCACTGACCTATCTAAGGCTGCTGAAACACATTCCCTGTTGAAAACAGGGTAAAATGAGCCCACAGACACATTTATTACTACTACAGCAAGGCTGATTCCTGCAACCAAGCAAGATCGGGTGTCCTTACTCTAGGCTGAATGGTAGCAACTGTTGTCTTCCGAAATGACAGTGATGTAGAGACTCTCTGATTATTTGGGACCATTTCACACACAGGCTTACATCCCCAAGTCACTGCTGCAGTCTTCCACTAGTATATAGTTCGCCAATTTAGGCTGCCCAGATGGTCATTATGTTTAAAAAGGCACCTCCAGAGGGTGATCCCGAGCACTTCTAGATATCAGTCCCACACAGAAGGACTTGCAGGCTGGAGAACTGCATGTCGTTTCCTGGAAGAGCAGTCCAGGCAACAGGCTTAAGATAGATGCCCAGTTTCTCCTGGCTGACTCTCATCAAGAGTCCCCAGATGTCCTTGCAGTGCTTATATGGTGAGTTTTGTCTTGGGAGTGGACTCAAGACCACCATCCCCGTGCTGTAATACTTGGTCAGAGAAGAAAAGCCAATGCTATTTCATTTCCACCACAATGAACAACTTCCTTTTCTTACTGCTTCTTATGTTTCTATGTTTTTCATCCCTGTTTAATTCTTCATCAAGGAACAATTTAATTTCATAATCTCACTGACCAATATTATTTCTCCCCTGTGTTAAGCTGCAAACATCTCTGATAGCAAGCAGATACCATCTGGCCTTTGGGAATCCCTGGACATTCAGAAGTTTGTGTTTCAGTTGTAACATCCAGGAGAGAGGAGGCAAGAGAACAAAAATGTACATCCTACATCAGCATTAAGCTATCAGGTCAACTGTTACAACAGCGACAGCACGGGTGAAAAAAGAAGAAACAGTAGAAAAAAGTAGAAACACCACTTAGGGTGAGTCTGAAATAAGCATTGAATTCAAGAATAAATCCTTATTGAATGGTATATAATAACAGACCTACTCCTCCCAGGCAAAGAGGAAAAATGTCAGTTTTGGGACCTCACCTTGAGCTGTGTCAAAGGCTAAGATCTCCAGAGAGGTCATGTGGGAACAGATAGAAAAACTCACTAGGCACAGATCTCCTTGCAAAAAATTAGGTTCCCAGCCTGTAGAGTTACTGTTCAGGTGAAATGAGTAAAATTTAAGTCAGTTAAGCCTTGTTTTCAACTGCATGTACCACAGGAAGGTGGTTCTAAAACTTCACACCTTCACTAGTGCAACATCATGAGAAAAACTTCGAAGAGTAGACCTGGTCTCAGGCACATGCAGTGATTTGTAAATCATTCTGACAAATACCTATTTTCTATCACTTTTTGTTACAAGAAGAACTTTTTGCTATGTTATATTATGAAGAAACACATTCAGGTTTTTCCTTCTGAACCATCTGTAGGAAAAATCACCTTGCGGATGCTACTTGAGTAGTTTACAAAAAGCCTGCGGGCATCTTTCCATGGGTACGCTTGTGTATGCTCACCTAATTATGTTCCTGAATGAACCACTCCAGCAATAAAGCTTGATTCACCTACAGACGCTTTCCAACTTCCAGGAGCCATATGTCAAATCAGTCCCTAAATAGAATAACCTTTGCTCAGCTTCCCCAGGGAGCAAACACTGGATCAGAAAATCAATGTCTATTTGTCACCAACTGGCTGAGTCCAGAAGTGCTTGCTGGGGAGCTGTGAGTGTGGGGACAGAACTGCTCACCTATTGTATGGTTGTCTTCAAGCAAAGGTCCCTGGTAGCTTTGATAGGACATTAAGGTGAGAATACTACATCTTCCTTGTCCAAATAGCAGGCAAATAAGTCAATAAAAGATATTCCCATTAGAAAAAGACATTCCCATTAGGAACACCTTGTTATGTTGTAAAATAAGCCTATCAGCTCATGAGAGGGAAGCTTGGTTTTGCTCTTCTACCACAATGAAGGGAAAGACACCCTCTGCCTCAGAGTTTTAACCATCCTTTCTAGCTTTGGAGAACTTATCTATTCCTGGGAGTCACGCACAGCTTGATATGTACGTGTATGACCAAGGCTCCCTCCAAAGTGTAGAGGAGGCCACCGTCCCTGCTCTGAAAGCATTGCTGTTTCCCACACTGAGATAGTGGCCATCTGATACTAGGCACCTCATTGTAGCAGAAAATGAAAAGCTATAGGTGGAAGAGGAAGCAGATGAGATGCATGTGTCAGCTGCAGCAACAGTACAAGCTGAAGCTGCAAAGCTGTTTAAGACCTGCTCCTCATAGGCCAACCCTGTCAAAATACATTGTGGGGAGGTCTTCAATGCAAACAAATAGGCAGCTGCTAGAAGGGGACAGATGGGATTTCCAGCCAAAGAAAAAGCAGGCACAGGCTGTGGTTCTTCTCAACTGACTGTGGATGTTTAGGATTAAGGTGTTCAGGTGCCATGAAGGGAGATTGCACTGTTGGAGAGCAATTAATCTCATTATTTCAGACAGCAGTATAAAGAGGATTCTAAGGAGATGTATTCTGTGATTCTAAGAGGAGCTATAGAGAACTCCGTTTCCCTCTGCCGGCTCTGGAGGCAGCTCAGACAGGTAACAGACTAATGGTCTAACTTTGGACAGCTAAAATTGACTGAGATGAATTCCACCCCACTGATATTTGGGTCTGAGTGACAAGAGTACTGCCATACTTTATATACAAAAACCCTGACCCAGGGTGCTGCAGCATCCTTAAGGGCAACAAGAGCTTATAACCATTATCCTTCTTTCTTAGAACTGACACCACCTTAGTGCTCTCTCCTTTTTTAATTGCATGTTGTCAGCTTTGCTCTCTCATCTGATTTTTCAGCAGAATCAACATTTTTTTAATCAGGATATATTCTTGGTGATAATATTCTTTTCAAAGGGAAATTTGTCTTTCGTTAGCTACTTCTGTACTTGGAGTTTAACTTTAGGTAGATGTTACCTGCATCCCTCTGCCTTTATATTGTATTTATGTATGAGTTTGGATTAGATGACCAAAGACAGGTCACCGTCTTGCCCATTGCTGCAGGCTAGTGCTCAGAAGTAAACCCAGTTTTAGATTGCATCAAGACACAGAGGTGTTTCTTTTACAGCCTGAGCCATTGACCACAGTTCAAGATAGTCACAGATGGACCTGCTACCCTTGCCTCACTAATGAGGGAGCAAGCTTGGTTCTGTTTGTTCTGGAAACCTTCGCAGGAAAGGTCCTTGCAGACACTATTGAGAAAATAATGATCATAGATAATAACAGAAATCAAGGGTTTGAACCATAATGAAATCTGCAACTAACTCTGGAAAGTATTTCAGGCAGTTACGGAAAGCAAGAACAGAGCTGCAGGGTGGGATGGGTATGTATAATCATCTGCAGTGGCTGCTGTCCTGCTCCTCCAAATAGTTTTCTCCTGCTAAAGATGGAAATGCAGTAAAAACCCCATGACTCCTCTGGGATACAGCTTCCCTGGGCAGCTGCCAGGCATTTCAGATAGCTTTGCATCTGCACAGTGCAGGGCTTTGGAACAGAGAAAAGAATACAGCCTGGTCTGTGAGCTGTGCTCTGGGGCTCCCCTGTAATCAGATTCAAAGCTCCTTTTGTCTATCCCAGATGTTAAATTCAGGCATGGGGTGAAAAGACACAAGTTGAGAAAGCCTAGAAAGCCACCTTTGACTGTATGTCTGCATCTCAGACACCTTACACTGGTCAAAACGCAATATACCCAATGTCCTGCAGTTTCCCCCCCAAGGCCCAAAGGAGATGGTGGGCTCAGTATGTGTCTGTATTTATACGATAATGTTTCTGCCCTAAGTTGCATGTTGGCTGTTTGTGGCATGGGTCCAGTGTTTGGGAACTGAAATGTGAAAACATATCTGTAATGATGGACTCAACTGAGGTTGTTTTGTATCAGATCTCATCTAAAGAGTGTTTTACAGATCTGAGCTAACACCAACTGGGGCCAGGAAGAAGATTCCCCTTGAACCCCCCAAAAAAACAGAACTAACCTAAGTAACCTCATCACTGTGTTCATTGCTTTGGAAAACCCCTGGATATCATCATAAGTGAAAAATAACAACAGTAAAGTTATTATTTTAAACAAAAGGTGTATTTTAGAGCAGCTTGTCAGGTCTCCTGCCACAGGAGAAATGAGCAGTTCCCCCCCACCTTGATATTGTCTTTGTGACTTGTTTCCTGCTTAAACAGAGGATTGAACCCAAAATAGAGATCCCAGCACTCAGTCCTCCACAAAGAACTGATTTGGGCTATTCAGTTCATCTGCCTCGTGCACCATTTGCCTTCTCCAGCACAAAAACAATGTTTGTTGGATGATGTACTGGGATGAGACTCACACTGGCTTTTTTCCTGGATAGGATCCTAAGTATCCCAAGAAAAACAACATAGGTCTCATTGCTTTTATTGCTCCCTCTCATTTAATGTTCAGTATGATCATTACAGACTCTCTTGTGCTTCTCGTACAGCCATCAAGAACTTGGCAATCTCTGCACTTGACTTTTATCCTGAAGAAAGGGTGCGCCTGTTTCTCATCAGAAACCAGCTAGAAGAGGAACAAACAACAGTTTTAAGACAGCTGATGGGTTTTTAGTAATCCCTTGAAAGAAACACAGGGGCAAATTTTACTACGTTTGTAGGCTGAAGTCAGGCTTCTTCCTGAACCTTAAAAAGGCTTATTTGCACAATATTCATTGCATCATTTCTAAACCTAGCACCTTTAACACCCCTTTTCCTGCGCACCCAGATGTTTCTCTGGAAGGAAATACCCCTTTTAATCCAAAGAGTGAAATTTAGCCAGAGGGTCTCTTCTGAAAGGTGTTTTGTACCCATACGGTTACGTCGTGCTCCTAACCTGTAGCTCTGCAGCTGAGATTGCACCATATATGCAGACCAGAGTGCTCGAGGAGGGTATTAGCTTCAAGTTAGGCAGCATTTGCTGGTTTGGAAATACCTCCGGAGAGGTAACTGAGGTCTCTTTCAGGATGACTGTGTGCAGCCTGAATCAAAATATCATCTCTCCTGCAGCTGTGAAAAATGCATGAAAGGAGGTAGAAACGATGCCTTAGCTGTAACATTTATAAAACATCAAGGACGACTTGTGAAGGAACCTGTGGTTTTCAAGTGCTAATGGAAGAAAGCCTTGGGAGCAGGGAATACTCACCAGGTCTTGGAAAATGAGCATTTGATTTCAAGACTCTTGATGAGCGACAGAACCCAGGGGGAAAGAATCAAGGTCCTCTCTGGTTCATGCTACATGGATTTTGTGCATATTTAACACTTTGTCACTTGGGTAGGTCTCCATTTCCTCATAAATAGTTACCCAGGCAGTCAGATCCCAACATCCAGTAAAAGATCTGACAGGACTCATCCAAACCCACAACCGTGTAGAGAAAAAGGCTTCCTTTTCCCTGGGGAAATTTCAGGTCTGCCAGAGAAATGGAAGAGATGTAAAGAATAAAACTGTATTTGATTTGATTTTTCTCTCTTTACCCTTTTTTTGTTGCCTGAAAAGAAGTCTGATCCCCCCTAAGTGGAAGGGTGTAAGACAGGGAGATGGGCAAGTGCTGCCGCCTCAACACGATCCCTGCCTGCAATAAGCCCATGTCGTGTCTGCCGTCCAACCTGCCCTTGAACACTGCCAGGGATGGGGCAGCCACAGCTTCTCTGGGCACCCTGTGCCAGCGCCTCAGCACCCTCACAGGGAAGAGCTTCTGCCTAAGAGCTCAGCTCAGTCTCCCCTCTGGCAGGTTAAAGCCATTCCCCTTGGCCTGTCCCTACAGGCCCTTGTCCCAAGCCCCTCTCCAGCTTTCCTGCAGCCCCTTCAGGCACTGGAGCTGCTCTCAGGTCTCCCCTTCAGGAGCCTTCTCTTCTCCAGGCTGACCCAGCCCAGCTCTCTCAGCCTGGCTCCAGAGCAGAGCTGCTCCAGCCCTTGCAGCATCTCCGTGGCCTCCTCTAACTCAACCCATCCACCCTCCCAACTCAAGCAGCAGTTACCTAGCTGTCCCTGAGATAGGATTATCTAAAATAGATGGAAGTTCTTAAAACCCTCAAGCAGCAGAATTTCTCCCTCTGCCCCCAACAACTTCCTGCATCTCTTAACTAGTTTTATTCTTAAAAAGATGTCTTGATGCCAATCCAAACCCGCTTTGCTGCAGTTCAAATCCCAGAGCATTCTGCCCATGTTGCAATGGCTGTAAATTCAAACATCATCTCAGGCTTGAAGGAACTTGTATCTGGCTTGATGGGACCCAGCCATGAATTGGAATGTAGTACACTCCCAAAATTCAGCCCCATACCAGGGGGGTACAGAGAGCAAGCTGAAATTGCCCTGTTATTTCTGGATTATGGTTTGAGAAGAAAGTTTAGTTTTCAAGAAAGAAATTGATCTGAAAATCAAATTTTGAGCCTTTCAAACAGTTCTATTCGTATCTAAATAGTCACAAGTTCCAGGATCATCTTACCATCACAAACACCACATTCTAGTCCTAAAGTTCTGGTGTGATGCACTTGCACGGCACCCACGAGGAACTCTGGTCTCAGGCAATGTTTCGTGGCATTGCAGTATTACTGCAATAATAATTAGATGTCCTACCAAAAATGAATTCACTCAAGAAATCTAGAGTTGCCTCTGGGTGTGCTTAGGTGGGTGCCTGTACTCCCGTTAGACACTGCTTGGTTTTGTCCTGTCATCTGTTAAGATACAGGTATACAGGTTACTTTCATTTCAGTGGCAAAGTTGATTTAAGAACTCCCTGCCTCTTGCCCCAGCTCTGCAGTTCACCAGCCTCATAGACAGTGCCAGGTTAAACTTTATCGGAGTTTCCCTATACACAAAGTGATCTGAGATAAGGGAGAACCAAATCATGTTGGTAATTACTTGCAGGGCTGCTGCCCCTTCTGGGCTGCCTCCAAGCTATTGCATTGGAGAATAAAATAAGGCCATGCAAACCGTTTGCTCTGGTTGATCAAATAAACTCATCTCGCTTTCTACTGTGATGGAATAATTGTGGTCCACAGAAAGCGTCCTCAAGATGTAAAGAATGGAAAGAACTGCAGTTGTCCTCCAGTTTACTCAGAGGAAGAGGAAAACCCAGAATGATTTACCAACTGGCCCAAGATAATGTACAAATACGGTAGCAAAGCCAGCCACTGAAACTGGAGTTCCAGTCCAAACCCTTGACCATTAAGTCATCATCCATCAAGCTGGAGTCCTACTAACAGTACGTTAACTATCTGGTCCAAGATGGGCTCTGCGCTCCAGGGGTAGAGTAGAAAGGTAGAAAGGGGATTTCTCAGCTGTCATGAGCTCTGTGCAGAACTGAGGAGTGGGGTCTGGCCTCCAATTCCTAGCACCAGTAATGATTTCCCACCATCACTGAAGTCCATAGCCACTGAGATGGTGTAGGACCATCATCTCTGTAGGGATGTAGGGTGATATCTGAGCTTGAGAGGGTCAACCCTGATGCAAACCCATCATCCCAATAGGGATGGTGGGACCTGTGAGAGGTTCCTCTGTGCTTCTGTAGGTGTTTTGCCTCCTGAAGCAGGTGATGAGATGGCCATGTAGGACCAGTGGGATGTTCTTAAAGGGGTGATTTGCACAGCTGAGGTGCTCTGAATGAATGAAAGGAGAAAAGGAGATTGAAACCTGTCTCTTTCCACAGATCAACACAGCCCAGACCTGAAAACCACTGTTACCTTCCCTTCTGGCTTACACAGCCACAGGTGAACAGGGCAAATGATGTTTGAGAGCCTCATCTCCAAGCCAAACACAGCATGTGAACAACACCACAGGCCCTGTAAAGACTGAAATCATTCCCATTCATTCAGAGCAAGACACTGAACATCTGAAAACCCAGCTAAAGCACTTACTGGCAGTGCACAAGAATTACCTTGACAATTACTCCTTGGAGTATTCTGCAATACGAAGTTTTGGCTGATAAAAGAAATTGGTGTTGGCCTCTTGTTTATGAATATAACCTAGAACTAATTGTTAAATGTGTCAGGCCTTCTAAAACATGTAATTCAGCAAGAATGAGGTCTATCCACTATTTAATCAGCAGGGATCATTGCTGCTGGCAGCATGAATAAAGCCTCTTCCAACTATCAGTCAAAGGAGGTTTTCTCAAGAGACCTTGTTTTCAGAGGCAATTTCTCCATCAGATGAGAAATAAAAGCAGATTAATGACTTACATGAGTGTCATCCTGGAAAGGGCAGTTTGCTGTGCCCCCCTCCAATTCACCATAATAACCATCAGCAGACCTCCTCATCCCTACCATCACACTGGGGACTTTGGGGGTACAAAACACCTGAGTGCTTATGGGGCAAGTGAGTTGAAGAAAAAGATCTTGTGCTATAAGAAACCAGCACTCATGATTCTGTGACTCTTTTCTGATGCATGGGGCCACCACTGAACTGCCTGTAGATGGAGCAGGCTTAGTTCATCTGAGAGCTGACCAGAATGGTCAGAGGAAGATGTCCTTCAAGAGGGTATTTCTCTCCTGTGGTTGTGAAAGGAGCCAAAAAACATCTCAACAGGGGACACAAAGCCAGGTGAGGGGGATCTCACCCAAAGGTAGATTGTACAGAGCAGTGACCAGTGGGACTTTGGACATGGAAAAGAATCATAGAATGGTTTAGGGTGGAAAGGACCTTAAGGTCATCCAGTTCCAACCCCCTGCCATGGGCAGGGACACCTCACACTAGACCATGTCACCCAAGGCTCTGTCCAGCCTGGCCTTGAACACTGCCAGGGATGGAGCATTCACCACTGCTTTGGGCAACCTGTGCCAGTGCCTCACCACCCTAACAGTAAACAACTGGGAAGGGGTGACGTGCAGACAGTTGTCATTAGCCATTGCAATGGGCTGGATGATTCCCAGTGCTCCAAAACACCCATTTTTAGTAATAAAATTGGTTTTGAAGGAAGAACAAAAGAAAACAAACCTCCAAAGCATTTTGTCCTCAAGGAATACAGGCAGCCCTTTGCAATGGAAGATAAATACTGAACATGGGAAGATGATGAATGAGGTCTCAACACTTATGGGGTATAAGATAGAGCAGGATTACTGGAAAAAACACACTCTAACCTAGCTCAGCACCATACATGTATTGTACATGTTTCCTGACAACTGCCACTGCTGATTAATCAGACCTGTCCCAAAATGCTTGCATTGATCCATGCTGCTACTCTTGTGTGCTGAGCCCACATCACACTCGCACAACATGGGAATGACACAGAAGATGTCCTGTTATCCCAGTTGTGATGTCCCCAGTCAAGGTTAGGTTATAACATGTAACAGGATGTCTTTTTCTGCCCTGACTCAAGTGCTGATGGGCTCTACCACTGCTATAACTCAAGCAAATGAAAAAGCTCTCTTTGGGCCCAAAATGAACATCTGATTTGCTCGGTCACTGTCTTATCAGCCAGAAAGGAATCATGAACAGCTCATAATGGTGCTGTTCTTTTCAGAAACAATCAGGGAGATGTAAAGAACAATTCTTATAACTTTAATGACTTCTCCTAATAATTTTCTCTGTACTGGAATAATTTTGCCACAAGTTTCTCCAATGACACCTATTACTCCTGCAGGTTTTCCTGGAGTAAAAAAAAAATCCCCATTTCTTTCCCAATTCCTATTTTCTCAAATGTTTTCTATCCCTCTTGCCCTTCTCCAGACTCCAGCATGGATCTGTCTTTGTATGATGGCAAAACTGGGCTGGACACAGCACCTACCCCAAGTTTTGTGTACAACACTCCAGACAACCTCCCAGAACAGGATGTGCTTCCCTCACAACACCTATTTGTATTGACTCACACCTTGTCTGTCGGCCATTTACATCTCTTGATCCCCTTTCCAGCCAGGTCTGCCTTCCTTTCATAGGAGCCATCCCACCATGTTTCTGTGATGCCTGTTACATCATACCCCTGTAGACGTGCACACATCTCTAATTCCTCTTGTTTGTTCCCCATACTACAGGCATTTGTATAGAGGCATCTGAGCCGAGCTCCAAATGCAGCCGGCTCATTGCCTGGAGTGGCTGGGATATCTCTACATTGCTCTGAGCATTTATTATAGGTGCTGGCAACTGACTGGGTTGGAGTGAGTATTGGGATGGAATGATGCCCCCCTCCCCCAGTACATCTAATTTAAAGCATCCTTGACCAGCCTGGCAAGCCTCCTACCAGAACAGCTCTTCCCCTTCGTTGTCAGACCAGCTCCACCAGCCCCAGTACAGCTGGCCTCCCAAAGAGGAGTCTTATAAATGATAAGTCTTATAAATGGATTCTTTGCTAATTTTTAATAGCATCTTCCTGGCTGCTGGAATAAAGCTGCTGGTCTCTGGTTCCACAGATTCTCATTTGCCTTCTCACACTATTTGCCCTTCTCCAGTCCTCTGAAACCTCCTCACCAAGTCCCCTGTGATAACCAACCCCTGAGGAGCCAGGCTTTACTCTGCCCGCTTCACAGCT